TGAGCACTGCTGATGTGAAAGGGAAGGGTTTGCCTACAATCCAGATGCGGAGAAGCAGCACCGCACCAGCCCGGTGTTGCTTGTCATAAGGTTCCGGGACGCGCCCAGTCTATATATCGTGCCCGAATGAAAGAAGAGACTGTAAGACCCACATAGCTCTGCTGCTGTGGCCAACACACACAAGCAAAAATGGAAAACAAAGGCTCCTAGGCTCCTGCAAACAACGACTGCGTAAGAGAAATTTCAGTTTTCAGGTAAAGTTTCAGTCTAAGGTGCTGCTTGCCAAGCACTTGCACATTTATCAAAGCAACAAATTGAGTGACGCACAATCAACTGCAATCCGAGACCCCTTCTCAACCATGCTATGTCAAGGTTGGAGGTTGACTTTCGACCGATCATCTGAGTCAGGAGGGTGAGAAGGGTAGGTTGACTTCAAACTTCAAAAGATCTTTTGGGAAGAAATATATGCAAGCCGAGAGCAAAAGACAGCCACGGCAAGGACAACTCACAGTAACAACACGTTGAACACGAGGTGCGCCACCCACAGAACCAGGACACCGTAAGACGCGATCGCTCCCAGCAGCGTCTTCTCCTGCTGCTGCACGCCACTAGCGGGCTGGTTGCCGCTGCCGTTGCCGCTGCTCTTTTTGGAGGAGGTACCATTCTCCATGTCCTCCGCCGATCTCTCCATCAACTGCTTCGGGATGGGCACGACGTTTGCCGCCCCCCCGCTCCCCCCCCTGCTCCCGCCCCCGCCGCTGCCGTCGTCGTCCGCGAGCTGGTCGTGTCGCTCGAGAACGTTGGCGGTGAGTTTGGGGAACGCGCCCGAGACCCCCGTTCCGTTCGGGCTCGGCGGCGTGGTGTCCGCGAGGTCGACGCCCACTCCGACCTCCGACCCGCAGCCCCTCTGGCTCACCCCTTCCCCGAGTCCATTCCACACCTCGTCCAGCTCCTCGTCGTTCAGGGTGCGCGCGAAGCTCTCGCGGTCGTGGGAAGGGAACCGGCCGCTGCCGCCCGACGTCGACCCCACCCCTCCCCGCGCCCCTGCTGTTGTTGCCGCTGCCGCCGCTGCCGCTGCCGCCCGAGCCGCCGCCGGCCCGCAGGTAGGCGGCAGGCCGCCCCCCCAGCAGGCTCGCTGGGGTGTGCTCCCGGCCGTTCCGCCGCCGCGTGGCGAGGCTTTCTCGCCGTTGTTGTTGTGCGGAGGAGGCAGTTCTTGCTCGTCGTCTCCAACCAGGCTCATGTCTGGTGCAGAGTTGTGTCGTCGCAGCCCAGGAGCAGCGGCGGCGGCCGCGGCGGCCGGTGGCGAGAACGGCGTTGCGATGTCGAAGTTGCGCGATCCTCCACGCGTGCTCGGGGAAGCAGGAGAAGAAGACGAGGAGGGTTTCTGGCGTTGTTGCTGCTGTTGCTGCTGCTGCTGCTTCGTCCTGTTGCTGTTCATCGGTGTCGCTGACGGGGTTCCGTGCGCCGTGTACAGGACGCGCCCTCCCCCCCGTCCTCCGTTGATCTGAGACGGTCTGGACGTGGTCCTTGCGGGGTTGTCGAGCTGCTGGACGCGTCGACTGTTTTGAGGCTGCCTCCCGCCGCTGCCGCCTGAGTTGTTGTTGCTGGCGGCAGGTGCCCTGCCGGCGGGAGCGCCTCTGCTTCTGGTCGTCCTCGGGTGCTGGTGCCCCCGTGGTAACCGCTGCGTGGGACGGTGGTCGGGGTCGTCCACGGAGACAGAGCGGCGGTGGAGTCTGCGCTGAGATTGAGACCTGGAAATTTCTTGCTGGTGATGAGGCTTCGGTGGCGAACGTCCCCTCCTCTGGGTTCCAGAAGTAGCGGCGTCTCCAGTGGCAGCGGCAGCGGCCGCGGCCGCTGCTGCCGCTGCCGCCGTTCTTGGCGTGCTCGCCCGCGCCGTCCTCCCGGTCCCGGAGACCCGGCTGACCTGCCTGCTGTAGGTTCGGGGCGTCTGCTTGTTGTCAAGCTGCGGCAAGCTGGAGCCGCCTGGCGTGCGGCATGGCTCCTCCTGGTCAGCTGCTGCTGCTGCTGCTACTTCCACCCAGTCGGCCTTCTCCATGGCCTCGATCTCTTCGATCGTGGGCGGCACCTCCTTCTCCTTCATCACCGGGGGGCTCACGCTGCCGGATGGCGGAGAAGCATCGCGAGCCGAGCTCTCCTGCCAGGCACGAGCTCGTTCGCGGACGCTTGACGTTCCCGGGTACGGCGCTGGCGTCGAGCTCGGCGGAGGTGGCATCTTTCCGCCGAATTTATCCCCTTCTACACTGCTGTCTCCCTCTCTCAAACGTCGGACAGAAGGGTGTGCAAGCTCTCTTGCAAGGGAAGGGGAGGCCGCAGGAAGAAGCGGGGTGCCTGAGCAAGCGAGGGTGTGCGCGCCGCGGGTGTGTGTGTGTGCCGACAAGATGAGGAGAAGTAGGAAGAGGACCCTGAAAAATGAGAATCGGGACATTCATATAAAGTTTCTAAAAAAATCCTTGCGGCTCGGCACCCCCAAAAACGAGTAGTCCAAATGTAATGGGTAGGGTCCACAAATATAAATCCGTTGCGCAAAGGAGAGCGGTGCATGTGAACGGTGGTGAATGGTCTGCACCGCTTACGACCAGCGCACAGGGTCCCCACCGGCGGAGACTTCCAGAAGTGCTGCTGCCGGAACGGCAATTCTGGTGAGCGCTGTATAGGCAAATCTTTGATACTGTAGAGCAATCTCAAGCGTGATATTTCGTTTTGCCTCGAACGGAGACCCAAAGGTTCAGGGCAAAATGTTTAATTTTTTTCAGCAGCAAGCGGCAACCACGGCTGGTGCTGTAGCCTGCATGTACACACCGCGCGAACACCCGCTCCTCCGCCTCATTGTACCCTTCGACGGCTGAGGAATCATGAGCGACGTGTTGTTCAAAGTAATGGATCGATTGACCGAGGCACTACAGCACTAAAGCGTATCATGTTTGGTCGACGTGTGTCCGTTCGAATATACTACAGCCGGGTGCTCGTATCATGTTTGGTCGAAGTGTGCCCGTTCGAATATACTACAGGGGTGTTCCTCGGTAAAGACGAATAGTTTCCACGAGTTTTTCAATGAGCAGCAAGAAATGGTTCCCAACCTCTGAAAATTTGTACCAACATCCGTTAGGTCACGAGGATCACGAAAATATACTTATTTTCCCATTTGGATGTCGTGGTGATGACTTATTGATGAATTAGTGGCCAAAATTGGGTGAAAATCGCGTCTGCGGGCCCCCCGAGCAAGTTGCAAACGCCTCCGAATCGTATAAATTTTTCAGGTTAGCATAATGTTGTGTTGTACATCAAGAATCCGTCGTCAGAATTTCGATCGGGATCGATGCGGCCGTGATACAGCTACGCACTGATATATATGCGCGAAAGCAGGGACAACCTGGAATTACTAGGAATTACACTGAAATATCCCCCCTCCCGCAACACTTTCTACATGTTGATTCAATCTCTCCTAACTTCGAATTAGGGTAATATTGGGGTGGGGATCACAAATATATTGTTGGAATGTCCCAGTTTTGATTTGCAATGGACTTTCAGCTGCTCAAAAGCTAACAGTAGCTGAGCAATTTCAAAATTCCTGGGATTTTGGATTCTCGGTTCCCACGTCGAGTTTTTGTCTGATCAACTTTCTGAGTGGCTCTAGCCCCTCTAAATCGGCCAAGCGGAATTGATTGCCGGGGAGAAATGGAGGCGCCGAAATCGGCAACGCGGTGAAAAAAAACAATCAACGCGATCCGATCACATTTTTTTTGGTTTCTCTTTTTTTAATGCTTTTAATCGTCGTTTTAGACATGTATCCAAAAACGGTTTTTCATTCGAGTTTTTCCTCGCCGCGGGAGAGACAATTCGTCTTTACCGCGGAACACCCCTACAGCCGGGTGCTCGCCGCATGTGTATGTTGTTGTTGTTGTTGTTGTTGTTGTTGTTGTTGTTGTAGGCCTGTCCTCCATCGGCCGTTTTATTTTCGATTTAGATACACAAACTTTATTTCTATACTAATTTCAAGTAATTCCACCTTCTTATTCTCCGTCATACAAGCAAAACGGCCGATGGAGGACAGGCCTATTGTTGTTGTTGTTGTTGTCTTCAAATTAAGAACAGTTCCGATCTCTCTCTACCCAGTACCTTCACACCTTCACATGTCCGTACTGACTCTTGTTTCTGTTACATATTTTCGGCCTGTTTTGACGTCTTTTCATTGGTCAGCCGGTTAGCGCGGTCGATAATAATAACATCGACGCATGTAATCGACCGCGTCCGAGTGTTGAATCAGTTGTTGTTGTTGTTGTCTTCACATTAAAAGCCGTTCCGATCTATTTCTACCCACTACCTTCGCATGTCTGTACTGATCCAACAAACACTCGACGCGGTCGATTCACGTGGTCACAGGTTAACATACCCTAAAGTTACACTCAATACACTCTATCTGCCATAAAGTGGGACCCCGTGAGGGGGCAGCATGGGGGAGGCTATCCTTCGGATCAGTATGTGTGCATGCATGTGCGCTGGCTCAAACTCCAACCGTGATCCATACAATCCATGTTGATGTCGTGCTACAGCAGTATCCGTTCTTGTGTGACAGATCCTTTCTCCTTTTTCTTCTTTTGGGTGGTGGCTGGCACCAGCTGTATCGCAGTTTCCGTTCTTGTGCCTACCGATGACTGGGTCTTGCCCTCCTGCTGTACAAACAGACTTCCGCATCAGGGGCCGCACACAAGACTGAGCCACTACTGCGAGCGAGAGGGCATCCTCCCGGAGGAGCAGAACGGTTTCCGCCCACACCGGTCGACGCTCGACATGCTGTTCGCCATCCAGCGGCTCCATGAGCTCGCGAGGAAGAAGAGTACTGCGGTGTTCGCGTGCTTCGTCGACCTCACCAAGGCATACGATTCGGTAGACCGAGACCTATTGTGGGACGTGCTCCGACGCTTCGGCGTGCCCCCGAAGATGCTGACGGTCATTCATTCGCCACTTACTTCCACGAGGGCATGAGGGCGCGCGTCCGAACGGACGACGGGCAGTACTCGGAGTGGTTGGACGTGGGCCAAGGCCTCCGACAGGGATGCAACCTGGCCCCGCTGCTGTTGTTTAACTTGTTCTTTGCCGCGGTGCTCATGGCCGCCGTGACCGAGTTCGACAAGGACCCCAAGGTGGCGGCGGACATGGTCAAGATCGGAACACGAGTGGAGTGCACGGGCAAGAGGGGCAGGTCGGCGGGGAAGAAGGCGATGATGGTGACGGTCGCAGAGNCGTCTCGCGCTCGCCGGAGAGTCTCGAGAAGATGATGTCGGTCATCGTGCGCGTGGCCGGCCTGTTCGGACTGATGGTATCGGAGCCAAAGACGGAGATCATGTGCATGCTGCCGAAAGGGATCGAGGAACGCCCGTTCACGGTCAGCGCCGCCGGCCAGACGTACAAGCAGACAGATCGGTTTGGGTACCTCGGACGTTCTATCTCCGCGGACGGGAAGGCCGACCGGGAGATCACAGACAGCCGCAGCTGCCGAGCGTGGAAGTGCTACCGTCGGAACAGGCAGTGCTTCGATGTATGACAGGCGACGGGCCTACCGCCAGCTCAAGATCCGGCTACTCCAGGCCGAAGTGGTGGAGACTCTCCTATATGGGTGCGCCTCGTGGAGCCTCACAGCGGAGCACTACACGAAGCTCAATGGGACCCACCGCCAGTTCCTTACAGGGTGCATCGGCTGGAGCAAGCGGAAACGCTCAGACCGCCGCCCCCTGTCCAATGCCCAGGCCCTCATCCAGGCCGGCTGCGAGGAAACCATCGAGGCCACCATGCGCAAACGGAGACTGTGTTTCGCGGGCTTTGTTCTGCGCATGGAGGACAACCGCCTCCCCAAGCGCATGCTGTTAGGAGCGATGGCGGGGGTTTTGGGATGCCGGGGCGGGCAGCAGAGCGACTGGGTGTCTCGTCTTGGAGAGGTCCTCGTGGCCTTCAACATGGGAGACGAGAAGGAAGGGGGGAAATAGAAAGAGAGCGCCAAGAAACCCGGAGGTGTGGTACAACAAGGTCGAGGATGGGGCGGAATGGCTCACGAGGAAGTGGCACAGGCAGAAGGCGGAAGGGTCCGCGAAGCGCCAGCACGCGAGGGAAGCAGAAGCAGAGAGTACGGCCATCTCAAGGCCGAAGAGAGAGTCGGGGAAGCGGCGGTGGGGGGAAAGAAACGGCGACCGGGCACTGCTGTAGAAGCGAGTAGGGCGGCCGAGGCAGCACTTGTGGCGAACTATTGTTGTTTGTTGTTGTTGTTTTTTCTCCCATCATTGGACTCTGTCGTCTGCCCCTCTGGCCCCTATCCTCCACTTCTTTCTACTAGCTAGACGACCCAACCGGGGTCACNTCGGGACTCGAACCCATGACCTGGCCCCTAGCAGGCTGCAAGGCTACCCACTAGACCACCGGGGCGACCGGTGTGACCGTGATTTATGTACCCGGCTGATTTTGTTGCGCCCTGTTTCCCTCCCTGCTGTATGCTATACTCCTTTATGTATGTCCTTTGTATTGCCTCCGGCCTCTGTGCTGTGTTTCTTTTTTTTTCATGTCCTCCCTGCCTACTTCGCAATCTAGACTTCAGTGGGTTGGCGCTGTTGGCAAAGCGCTGTAAAACACGCCACCCCAAATATAGCCC